ACTCTGGTGATTATTCAGCGTTAGAAATCCAGACCATTTCAAAACTCACCAGTGATGTGTGACTTCTGTTTGCCACAGTTTCATTGTCTTGTGTCGCCATCTTGTTCTCCTCTCTGTTGCTCAGTTTTATGTTTCTATCAGTGTGTGTTTTTTCTTGTTTTGGCCCTACACGTATCAGCTCCATAACCGAGGTGCTGTGGTCTAATATGATGATTGTGCAGCTGATTTGACCTGGATGCAGATCAGAAACATTACTGAAAATTACTCATTGGTTTATCATTATAATTGTGGGATTTTTAAAAGTAATTATTCAGGTTGTTTTATTGTCCAGGCCTAGATTTAAGGGCAGCTACAGTTGATTGGGATCATGTTTATTTCTGCTTTGAAAGAAAGAACAAGCTTACTCATGGTAAAAGAATTCAACTGGAATTTTCACTGAGGGCCTCAGTCGCCAGGTTCAAACCCAAAACCTTCTTGAGGAGACAGTGCTAACCACTGTTTCACTGTACTGGAACAGGAAAACTTCACACAACCTATTTAAGCTGTTGGAACCAAATGGGCGTATGTGTTTTGAACTAAGATCCAACTTTGCTATGCTGTCTTGGGACATTCTGAAAATTTTTCAGGTTATGTTATTCACTCCCTTTGACTTCAGTGCATTACTCATTAATGTTTAGTGTCTGGCATTTTTAATGTCTAGATTTTTGACTTTTATATTTGCTTCAGAATAGTTGGGTACACTATAAAAGGGAGAGTGTAAGTGCAGATGAATGTGTGTAATTCAGGACAACCAGCCCCAAATAAAGACTTTTATCCAGTGACAGTAAAGATAATGTCTGATTCACAGTGCCTAGAGATTCTGATCATTTTATATCAAGTTAAGTTGAAGGATGTTTACTTCTGGAAATGTTTCTGTGTGTAGTCAGTACTGACTTGCTTCGAGTGAGAGTGGAAAAAGATTCAACAGCAGATATACAGCTAAGTAACAAATGGCCGACCATGTAACAAAGAGCAGTGATCAGTGCTATTTTTCTGCTCTAAAATGGTGACATTCACTCTCCTTCATTTCAAGATTAGATGCCCTTTACATACATAAAAATGTAATTGTACAGTAGTGTAACAAACCACAAACCAAGTGATAGTAGTAGTGATGGTTGTGCTTTCATGCGAGAATGAACAACTGCAGTAAGACTGCAGTAAAACTGCTATTATGGGAAGCTTTTATGAGAAAACTCGCTGTGTATCTTTCACTACGAAGGTGATGAAGTCAGTGATGAGGGCACTAAAGCTGGTAATGAGCAAACAAAGAATCAATAAAGGTAAATTGCAGCTAAGCACAAATGCACCCAGGATAAAAAAGGATAACCTAAAATGGGACGGGAAATTAGAGATAAAACATTTTTCTGACATAAACATAACCAAAGCAGATCATTACCTAATCACAGACCTGATGTAGGTCAAGTGCAACCAAGTCATGAACGATGAGGGAAACCCACAGCTCCTACAGACTGTGTGAAATAGAAGTTAAAAAGTGTGCTTTAAATCAATGGGGGGCAGGGGGTTGAGTGTGCAGGTCTGAATAATGTTTTAATCATGTATTTTCTTTCTTTCTGAGAGTTAGGACTAGAGCTGAAATGATTAGTCAATTAATTGATTAGTAGATCAACTGAGAAATTGTTTGCAGCCATTGTGATGCTGGAATATCAAACATTTGATGGTTCCAGCTTCTCTAGTATGAGGATTTGTAGCTTTTGTGGGAGGTGGATGTTGCTACTTTTGGACAGACTAGCTTTATCGCCCTGTTTCCAGTTATAGTTCAAAGCTAAGCTAACTATCTGCAGGCTGTAGCCCCTTATTCATCTACAGACATGACAGTGGTCTGAGAGAACACTGTTGTTTTTACCTGCAGGATACCTGAGGAAATCTGCAACCAGCCTTCCTGTTCTGAAACACTGGTGTCTTTGTCTTTGCACCAACAAAGAATGTCTCAGACAAGGAGGAAATGGTGATGGTGGAACAAATACCTCTCTAGGAGGAAGTGACAAGGTGTATGAGACAGCTATCAAGCTGCATGGTAACAGTGAATTAACAGAGAAACTACACAAAGGTATTTTAGTTGGAAAAAGTCTGAACATGAAGGGATGACAGATTAGATTAAACATCCAAGCAACCTGTACTATGCTATTAAAACTGGAGTGATGGCTGGAAGGAACAAACAAATGTCCTGTGACACAGAAACACTCTGATGCAAATCACCTCTTTCCCAGCATTCGTATAAACACTCGGCGACACGCGTTGAGGTGTCGGCCAACAGCAAGTGAGAATAAACATATTAAATCTCTGCCTCATAGTAGGGGGAACCAAACACATCAGATCTGCTCTGTATGGGAAGCAAAGACCTGAACTAATCAGAGATAACACTAGTTGTCTTAATGTGTACATGACAGGGGGAGCTTGTGACTCAGTTCTGCTGTAACTGAGTGTGAAAGCAGTGCTGTATAGAGTTGACTGAGTGAATCAGGCATTTGTGAGCAGGATTTCAGTCCACAAAGGCGCATTCTGAAGAATCTGAAGAGTAGCTAGACTGTTGGAGCAGGTGGAAATTTGCACTTAAACTGAAACAACAGGCAGAGTGTTTGTTAAAAGAAGTGACTGCACAAGAGCAGTGACTTTCACACAAACCAGAGCTGTGAACGTCCTCTTCAGTGACCAAGTTCTTGTCACTCTAACTATAAAAAATAGATTGCAGTGCCGAGACACATTATTGACCTGTTGTTGATGTAAGATTTGATATTTCACACATGACTGAGCAACAAATGACGTGTCTCCCCACCCTGCCAGCTTACAGTAATCCTCTGAAAATGTGACACTGTGGTCAGATGATGAAATTAATAATTCCTCCTAGCAAAAGCCAACACATAAACTAACTCTGCAGTGCCCCCTAGGTCACATTATTTCTTTAAGCAAAAACAGAGGAGCCTCTTTTTTTCCTTCTTTTTTTTCTTTCTTTTTTATTTTAACTGTGGCATCTGACCAATAGAAGGAAGAACTAGAGCTGATTCATGTCACCTTTTTAATTTTATTGTGGAGAATTAGATGAATCTCTGAGCTGCCTGAATGCCTTGTTTCTTTTAGTTCACTGTAGGGTGCCGAATAGCATAAAAACAAGTAGTTGAGTTGTTAATGATAGAAAATCCTTCAACAGCATTTCTGAATGAATCAGTTATTTAGTGAGCTGGTTCTAGCTTCTCCAATTTTAAGATTTGCTGTCTTTTCCCTGTTGTTTATCACCATCACACTCAAGATGCAAGCTGATTTTGTAAAACTAGGTGTACTGATGTGTACTGATACCAGATGTACTGAAAACCTGATTTAATGTTTTATGTTTTTATGTTTCAAAGGACAAAAAGGAATGTGTAATCTTAAATATATTGTGTGTATAAATGTAAAGAATGAGAGGTGTTTTTTCCAAGTAACTGCTTTCATACTGACTGGTATAAAATATAGCCTACTTTCAAACAGGAAGTGGACCAAAACCACATTTCAATTGATTCACAGTTTTGCTAACTTGAAAACAAGGTGAAAATAAGGTCTTGGGATTTAGCAGCGAGGGGGACTACTTGGCAGTGAGAGGTAAACTGTTCCACACCTGGGCTCAACAGTAGAAAATGTTCCATCATCCTTGGATTTTCACTTGGACAACAAAAAGGAGAGCCTGGGTAAAGGATCAGAGGGCCTAGGTGGTGGCCACAGGATGAGGATATCTGAAATTAAAGTTCCTGCCTCAAAAGTTTCCTTTTGAGCGAATGGGCTTCTGACTAAGTTACACAGGAGCAAAGTCAAGGCCATCTCACTCCTCATCCATACTTCCTGACAACATGCATTCACAATGTTTTTGGTTTAATATTTAATTAATGACCTCTATAGAGAGGCCATAGGTAAATTAACACCCACAAAAAAACTTGTATTGGTGATAATATAGTTACAGACTCACTGGAATTTTTAATAGTCTTGTTTTGTTAGGCAATTTAGGTATAACAGTGTTAATGTCAGTGGTTGGACAACTGAGTGAACCCAGCTCTCAGAGGAGACTGCCATTACAAGCCAGCTGGGCCAGACACTGCTTTAGCTGAGAAAATACAATGCAGATGCTGTGGGTCAAGGCATATATCATCTCTTTGCTTGGGTGAGGACAGGGTTCAGGAATGCTTTATGTTAAGGGTAGGTTAGGCCTGGAAAATTGTGTTGCTTATTGTGGGGTTCTGAAAATTTATGATGGTATGGCCTGACACTCCAAATAATGGTAAATAAACATGTTCTCCCATTCTTTGGCACATTTAAATGTGCAGTATTGACTGTCAAACAGTTTCCCCCATCTTCTAACACTGTACGTGTAGGCTACCTTATTCATATCAGGATGATTAAGCAGTGGAAAACTCATGTAACCTGCAGTGTGTTAACAACACAATATGAGTGGACACTGTAGCAGCATAAGAAAGAATATTAACACTAATCCCAGCTGCTACAAATTGGGACATAGGCCTTAAATGATACATTTATGGAGTAAGTGGTTTGCACAGTTCAGTGAAAGTGCAAAGTAAAAAAGTGCTATTAAAATTAATCTACCTTGTGCAACATTTCTTTATTTAACTCATACATGTTGAAAGCAACAGTCTTGGAATGAAAGAAAGTCTGCTGCCAGCTGTGGTGTAATACTATATAAAATACTCTATATTCTTAAAGTTAAAAGATAATGAAATAAAATTCAACCATACACCACAAAATGTCACGTTTTTTCGAATAAAACTGAGATATATTACTACCATAAATAGTAAATAACTGAATTAAAACATATAAAGGAACTACAATTAAAAACTAACGAACTAAATAGGTAAATAAAAATAGGATAACAAATGTTGCTTTTCTACGGTGTTATACGCATGGACATTGTGCCCTCTTGTGGTGGATAATGGTCGCGCGGTTTTTCCGCCACTGCCAACGCAATATCCGGTTGTGCAGCAGCCATTTTGTCTGTTCGGGCAAGTCTACCCTGACGGTTGTGAACTGCAGTTCCACCCTCGGAAACAAGTTGAAATGTTGTTGTGGCATTTCTATTTGACGCTATCTATTATCTGAACGCCACATAAAATTTACATCTCAAATTTACAATCCGAAGAGGGGGCTCCTCTTCGAGATAAATCCACAATTGTGCGTGAAAAGCGCGGGTCAGCAGAGACATGTCGTGTGAAGAAAGCTACTTGGCCATCATACGCTATCTGACTGATGAACGGGAGCCATATGCGCCGGGGACGCCCGGTAATACCAAGAGAAAAATACGCAAAGCGGCTGCCTGCTACGTTGTCCGAAACGGGACGCTGTTTTACCAGCGTCGATTAAAAGGCCAGAATGATTTCACCGAGCTGGAGGTGGTGCTACAGGACGCCCGGAGGAAGGAACTTATCACCGAGGCGCACATTATGGAGGGAGGGGAGCACCTCAACCAGCAGCTCACTTGGGAGTACATCTCTCAGAAGTACTGGTGGAGAGGTGAGACCTCGATGGACGTAGTCACTGTGAGGCGATTAAATCAGCCAGAGGACCGCCGTAAACAAACCCGCAACAAATATTAACGTACGCCACTGGTCACCGCCGTACACGCCACCTAGAGGTTACATGAAGTGTTGAGAAATTGGGTTAAAAACACGAGACGGGTGGGAAACGGCAGAATAATTTTATTTACCGATTACGTATATGCCGAACACACCACGCAGACTTTTTAACCAGCCTTAACGTTTCGTTACTGGAAGAAGAAATACACAGACAAAGGCAATAGGTGCAGTTATGTTACCTGTTTGAGCTGAATTGTTAAAGATTTACTGGTTTCAGCGCCACAACTGTCAATGTTTTATGTTTTCTTTGTCTTATATGATAGTAAATCGAATATTTTTGTAGTTAGAACTGTTAATCAGACAAGCAATGCGAATTTATGTATTTTGTTCTTTTCTGACATTTTATAGTTAAAACAATTAGTTGGAAAATATTTGCCAAATAAATAGCTAATGAAATAATTGTTACCTCTGGTCCTGTCTATATTTTGTCTGCTTTTATTGCTATAACTAGTAGACAAAATATTAACAACATATGAATGGAGTGACTTTTAGCAGCACCTAGTGCTGGTTGAATGGAGCCTTATGAAGCTACAGGGATTTTAATGTGCACAACGTCTCCAACACCAGGTATCAAAACTCTGAACGTCACTGAAGTAAAACAAGCTTTGGCATCATCCACCTGTCCCTAACAGCACCATAAACTAAGCCTAACTAACTAAATAATAATAAATAGTTAATATAATAATAATATATATTAGTGACAATTAATAATAAAACAATTATATAAAAAAATAACATGCTAATAACTACATCACTAACCCTCCAAGGCGTCACCACAGAGTATCCTGTCTTTCCTCAGGTATCCTGAAGCATGTTAAAGACCACATCAGAGAGTGTGCTCAGTGTCAGAGCAGGCGCGGTGCAGATGATGGTTCTGGACCTCGGCTGTTCTCCCAGCAGGGAAGACGCAGGGCGGCCGCCAACATGGATGAGGAAGAGAACGAGGAAGAGGGAGAAGAAGAAGGAGATGATAGTTTATTCTCCACGGACTCGTCCTCTCAGCTGAGACCAAGACGATGGCCGCCGCCAAGCACGAACTGGTCTTTGTGAGCATCACCTCTAATGATGACAGCAGTGAGGTATTTCTTCCCCTACATTTGGGTATTTTGTTGATGAGTATTTTGTGTGTGTATATGTGTGATTTTTACCAGGTGGACAGCAAGGGTGAGGTGAATCAGTTCATGCCTAAGCACAGCCAAACAATGTTGGAAAAACTTAACCAGCAGCGTCTCAGCAATCAGTTCTGTGATATCACACTGCTGATTGAAGGAGAAGAGTACCGTGCACACAAAGCTGTACTGGCAGCATGCAGTGAATATTTCAGTGAGCTCTTTTTTGAGAAGGGGGCAGTGACCACACATGAAGCTGTGGTCGACCTCTCTGGTAAGCTTTTGTTTTGTCTTGGCTACTCTCCAGATTGTTGTGTGCCCTTCCCAGTTATAACCTTTTTTCTTCTTCTTTTCTCCAGGTTTCACCAAAGGTAGCTTCCTACCGCTGCTGGACTTTGCATACACTTCCATGCTAACTTTTAATTTCTGCATCATGGCAGATATTGCTAACCTTGCCCGGCATCTGCTGATGACAGAGGTGCTGCAGATATGCGAGTCTGTGCATAAGCAGGTGGAGGAGCAGAAGCTGACTGTGTATCAAAGAGGCAATGTGCACACCGTGGTGTCGAGCCAGCTGGTTTCTGAGGAAGGTCAGAAGGATGAGTCTGGTGCTTATATGGTGACCATAGAGAGTGATGGCAGAGCAGTGGTCACCCATAGTGGTGTTGCTGTAACATGTGAATCTTTGGCTTTTGTTGCACCTCCCAAAGAGTCCTACGTCGAGCAGCCAGTGACAGTGGTCACTGAAGCTGTAGAGGGAGACAAAGTGCACAGTGGACAGGCTGGACAAAGTGAAACACTGACTCTGATCGCTCACACTGGACAGGCCGAGACGGGAGACACCGTCACTCTGATCTCCGGCAGTGCAGAAGGAATTAACGGGGAGACCATGACTGTGGTCACCCACAGTGGGCAGGCTGGAGCCAGAGAGTCCCTCGCGTCTGCCTGCCTGGCGATGGCCCAGCCACTGGTCACTGAAGGAGGAGCCTTTGTTATAAATGTAGACCCAGACAAAGTAAGCCCATCAGAGTCCATCAAACTTCTGTCTGCAGCCACCGCTGAAGCAGTGACATTGCCTCAGGAGCAAATGGAATCAGCACCTCTGCCCCAAAAACGCAAACGAGGGCGTCCAGCCAAGATGAAGAAGGTGGGGCAAGTGGAGGAGTTCTTACCGCTGGAGAAGGAGGATCCCTCTGATGAAGGCTGTGCAGACAGACAGGAGATGACATCAGATGACCCAAACAAAAGACGACTCCGGCAGCGCTCTATTGTAGAGGGAGGTTATGCTCGTTTACATATGGGGCTGGAGGACGAAGAGGAGGGAAAGAAAGGTCCAACCCCAGCGAGTGCCCCCACACCTAAGGTAGGTGTACTTATACTGAAATTTTTAATTGCATATTTTAGGAGTGAAAATATTTGTAGTAGATGAACATAAACCTTCTTTTAGGTTGGTCTGAGGCCTGGAAAACGGGGGAGACCACCAAAACAACCTTTGGAGAGTCAAGCAGAGGGTCCGTCTGTGTCTGAATCTGGGCCAGAACCAGAAGCCAGCGCTGGGGACTGCATGACAGTCAGAGAGGTCAGAGCAGAGCAGGCTGGGATGAAGGAGGCAGAGCCTGAGACCGGAACCAAGCAGGGTCAAACCCCAGCAGAGAGTGCTGTGGATGGGGAGCACACATGCTCTGAGTGTGGCATGTCTTTCCAAAGACGCTACTCTCTCATCATGCACACATTAAAGCATGAGAAAGCTCGTGGATACAAGTGCAGTGTGAGTATGTGTATTAGTCAGTCAGTGTCACATTTCACTTTGTTTTTTCAGTGATGTTCTGACCATAACTTTTGTGTGCCCCTCTTTTAGCTGTGTAGTAAGGAGTTCCAGTACGCTGCCTCGCTCCGAGCCCACCTGGCCCGACACAAGCAGCAGAGCAGCCAGCGAGCACCCGTCACCAAGCCCTCTGTAGAACTGAGCTCTGAGGGGAAGTCTGACAATGATTTGGATGACAAGACTTCATCTCCACATACCAAAAGAGAATTTGTGTGCGACATCTGCGGGAAGACCTTGCCCAAGCTGTACTCACTGCGGATCCACATGCTGACTCACACGGGCGTGCGGCCTCACTCCTGTAAGGTCTGCGGCAAGACGTTCGCCCACAAACACAGTCTGAAAATGCACAGGGCGCTGCACGATGTCAGCAAACAGTTCCAGTGTGGGTTCTGTAAGAAGTCTTTTGTGAGCAAGCGGAGCATGGAGGAGCACACCAGTGTTCATACAGGTCAGTGCACACTGTGGTTTAAATCTGTTGTCATTTAAAGGCTCAGTTCACACAAATTGCTCAGTTATACCAGTGTCACTGAAAAGTTTTGTTCCTGATTGATTGACACGCGTGGTTATAATATCTTGTAGCAGCTCTGCTCTTGTCATTATGATCCCAGTGGTCAATTGAAACGAGGCCATAGATGCTATACAGTATATTTATATGCTGTTTGTGAGCGAGGCTAATCAAGCTCTGGCAGCAACACACTGTAACTGAAGGAGAAAACTTTGGACTCTACCATGGCCTCCTGTTTGCCCCGAAGCCCTCTGGATGAGGTTTGCATCTATAGATGGTGGAGCCTGCCGACAGCAACAGGAGAAATACTGACAGCAGATTGCGACTGTACAAAGTTAAATGGCTAAAAGTGTCAGTTTTTCTTGACTTGTATGCAGCCATGCAGATAGTTTTGGTTTTCTTTGTCCAGAGTTTGAAATATCCATCTCTGGGACTTCTTTCACTTCAACACAGATGAAATGAATGGAATTTTGTTCGTGGTGCTCTCGGCATTAAAATGGCAGATCAACAGATCACCTGCTGTTGATTATCCAGTTTAAGAGAACATGTTGTACTGGGGTAAAACATTGCCTTTATATATGATGGACGTGCCGTCACCACTTCCCTCCAATGAAGCCAATGTATCGTAAATACGATCTTGCTTTTTTTACACCCGGATTCTGCGCAGTAGCGACCAGAGGTGGAGCCGTGGTTTCAGTCCGCCAGTCAAAGCTGTCAAATCAACCAAAAGACATCTCTTTGTTTATCATCAAGTAACTTACTAAAATCAAACTTATCAGAACAATGACCACTTGTACACACAACAGTGTGTTATCTACCAAAAACCACAGAAATCACCTCTGAGGGAAAATTGGATTTGTACTTTGAGTTTTTAATTTGGCTTGTATCTGGACCAATAACATGGAGGAGGCGGGATTTATGACCTACAGTGCAACCAGCCACCAGGGGGTGAATGATTCGCCACATTGATTCATCACATCCATCATAGATGCAGTCAATGGGGCAGAAGCAGGAATTCAGAGCTAGTAATCTCCAAATCTCCAGAGATAAAGTTGGAACCTTTTGCAAAGCTAGCTAAACCCCTGTCTGAGCATCCCCTTACTCACTATCTCTGGAGCGTTCTGCTGAATTGCACGTCTTGAACTGTAAATTTGTTTGCTCAGCTATTATAAAGATTAATATACAACTCTGTCACAAGTGCATCTGATTACAAATACAACTGAAATCTTTGAAAAACAGCCTAGTGAGAGGACCTTGAGATTAGTTTTAGTTTATTTTGTCTAGCTAAAATGATGGGATGTTTTTTTGGAATTTGGGTGATCTGACCCTTTAATACTTTGTTCAGATAGGAGCGTAAATTGACCTAATGTGTGGCTGTTTTCATCTATAGGTGAATCAAAGTACCTCTGCAACACATGTGGAGCCACTTTCCATCGAGCCTCAGCTGTGAGCAAACACCTGAAGAAGCACCAGCCCAAACCTGACGTCCGGCCTTTTGCTTGTTCTCAGTGAGTAACTGTTCATTTTTCCTTAAAGACACAGGATTGAAGTCCTGAGATGAGATTTAAATGCATTTTGCTCCTTCCCCTTCACCTCACCTGCAGCTGTGATAAGAGGTTCTACGAAGCAAAGGATCTCCAGCAGCACATGAACAAGCATATGGGTCTGAAGCCCTTCCAGTGCCAGGTGTGTGGGAAGTGCTACAGCTGGAAGAAGGACTGGTACTCCCACGTCAAGTCCCACAGTGTGGCTGAACCCTTTAAGTAAGTCTAGCAAGAACTGCAGTACACGTTGAATCACACTGAATCACTGCAGATGGGTCATGTTTATTTGTCTGTTCAGGTGTAACGTGTGCGGGAAGGAGTTCTTTGAGAAGGCTCTGTTCAGGAGACACATTAAAAAAGCCACACACGGGAAGAAGGGCAGAGTAAAGCAGAACCTGGAGAGAGAATGTGAGCAGTGTGGCAGGAAGTTCACTCAGCTCCGAGAGTACAGACGCCACATCAACAACCACCAGGGTGAGACTCGGTCCGGTTTGTGTGAGCTCATTTGTATGAAATCTTTTTACAGCAGTGATTTTTTTTTTTCTTTCCTCTTTTTAGGAGTGAAACCATTTGAATGTCTGACGTGTGGCGTTGCCTGGGCTGACGCACGCTCTCTAAAGCGCCACGTCCGCACACATACGGGAGAACGGCCGTACGTGTGCCCCATGTGTCAGGAGGCCCACATCGATGCCCGCACTCTACGTAAACACATGGCCAAGTACCATGGGGACAGTCTGCCTGGGAAAATCATGCTAGAGAAGGACACCCTCCAGTTCCATAACCAGGGTACCCAGGTGGAGCACGCCGTCAGCATCTTAGCATCCGAACTGCCTCCTGAGCTCCAGCCGGCCCAGCAGACACACTCAGAGGAGATAGAAACTGTCCTGATCACAGAAGAGACAGTGGAGGCTGTGGAGGCCGTGCAGGCCGTGCAGGCTGTGACCGATGGCTCGGTGGCAACACTCTCAGATCAGGGCATCATGCAGGTTGTGAACTATGTCCTGGCACAGCAGGCCCTCACAGGGGGCAAGCTTGAGCAAGGAGCCGAGGTGATTCAGACCATGGAGGTGGAGGTGGCTCAGGTGGCTGAGGTCGAGTAAGTTCGGGCAGGGGATCAGGATTCTGCCACACAGACAGACCACACTGTTGTTCAGTCGGCATAAAATGAAACCGTATGTAAAAAGATGCTTATTTTTCTGAAATTGTACAAAGTGCCACCGAGCCATGAGTGGAGGATTCAGCCCAGAATTGTTTGTGTGTCCATGTGTTCACATTTCTATGTCGTGTGTAAATAGTTGCATATACAGTAACAAGGTTCATTTGTGACTTTAAGAAATTTGGCACTTGGGAGAAATAAAGGCAGAAATAACACAATACTTGGACAACATGTATTTCATCTTGCAACATCTCCAGTCTGTTTTTTTTTAGTGACAGAAAAGCTGCGAGACTTTGCTGTAGAAAACATCTGGTGCCTCAGGAGCTTTGTATTTTGGATTCCTAGATTTGGCTCAGAATAAAATCTTTTCACCAAAGAGCTTCATAAATCTGTCCTGAAGGTGCAGGAGTGACAGTCATCAGGACGTTTCACTGAGACCTTCATACAGCTTGGGGTTTGTAACTGAAAGGGTGAAGCCACATAATAACTTGACACAAAGATGAACATGCAATACAGCAAGTATGGATATTTATTTCAGATTTGTATCAAAATACCCCTGGTATATTGCAACATATTTACAATACATTGTACAAAAACATGAAAATTGAGTGTTTCTGCTTTCTGACAATGCTGACTACATGAAACAAAGCTGAACATGGGCTACAGGCTAAAGCAGGATACACATACTGTATGCACGCTTATGAATTAATACATTTGTTGCTGGTAGTAACACCCAGGCAGTATTCACATCAGTATGCTTTGTTCCATGATGACAACCATGCATTTTCTCTAAGGAGACTTTCAAACAAAGAAAACTATACAAGTGTATATACAGCTATATCATAGGTTTTGGCTAGTTATCAAATGAAATAAACCTCTACCAAAACGTGGTTCATGAATAATAAAAAAAAAAATACTTGTGCTAGGCATCTGGCTCTCAAAATGCAAGCGTAACCACTTTGCACAGCAGTAAAACAAGAGCAAACAAAAGGACATCAGTCATAGTATCACTGTACTGTAAAACACTGGGTTAAGAGCATTAGGCCTATATATAGCTACATCAAATCAATGACCATCTGACACAACACATGCATACTTCACACCCTGACAAAACGGTGATGCACTGGTCTCAGACTTATAAAAAAAAAAGCTACAGCAGAAAATAAATTGCCCATAAATTGACATAATACTTCTGACAGGAAACATTTGAAATGTATACAATCAATGCTGACTTCTGCCACAAATGAAAAACCGACAGTGTATGTGACTAACTTGTACAACCATAATGGCAAAAACTTAAAAGTATAACCAACTAAAATACAGTTTTGCTGTGGCCCATAGCAGAAATCAAAGCCCTAGTAAACCCTCTAATCCAAGTTTGTTTCCAGTCATGCTTTAACATGGGAATAAATTGTGAACACTTAAACCTCAAAGCAATCCTCAACATTTCTGAAGTGCTCTCAAGAAATCAGAACAATCAAACGCACCTTTGCTCAACAGCTTTAGTTTCTCCTCAGCGACCCCGAGAACCAGAACAACAATGAAATTAAGTGCATTTCTATGAGAATATGTATTTTGTCCTCAGCAGTAATACCAGGTTTTCAACTGAAATGTTCCAATTCAGGCGTGAAATGAGTAGTGGGAACACTTGCAACGACACAGAGGTCGTCTTACTCTCCCTCCTCCTTGATGCGCTGCTGTTTGTTGCGGCGAGAATCCAGGTCGAAGGAGAAGTCGGACCACTCGTCACGTGGTGGGAAGGAGATGGTCTGGCGCAGGGTGAAGCGTACAGCGTCGATGACACGCTCACCTCGGGCCTCAGAGGCGCCCACGCTGACGGTGGAGGCCCCGCTGGTGGTACGCACTATGTGGGGAGGGGGAGAAAAATCCATGGCCTGTCGGTGTTCAATGATGCCCTTCCAGATTATGTGCTGGAACTCCGCGGGGATCTTCAGCCTGGACAGGTCCTAATGGTCATTACACAGGGGAGCGTTAGTATTCGCAGGGGGAGCCACTCTTCTCTCTAACCCATCAAATGACTCGTGTTGGATAGGCAAGGGCTCACCTCCATGTTATAGTTCTCAATCTGGTAGATGTTGGTTAGACCCTGTGCTGTGAAGTAGTCCAAGCAGCCTGCGCAGCCCAGCCGTATGAGGAAGCTGTGGGAGCAGCAGAGGAGGACGGGGTTAAAGGTGGATCCATCAAACAATACAATGGTCATATAACTGACACACTGGGTATCTGCAGCTGTCAACACATTCTGCTTTAGACTTCAAAGTTTTCAGACAAAAGGCTGAACTGCAAACGAACAATCATCTGGTGTCAAAGAACTCAGTGAACTAAACTAAACATGACTGTGGTGTTGAGGAAAGGCGCTTCTGAATTTTAAATGGGACCTCAGTCTGAGTTCACATTGTAAAAGCATCATTTAAGTTGAGGCAATAAACAACTAAACAATTAAAAACTAAATTAAAAATAAAAAAATGAATAAAAACTGGTCAATTCAATGGCTAAAGTCAATAATAATATATTAGTTAACTTAGGTCCTGTATTTTGTCAAATTCATGTAATTCTTATTGACTTCTAATATTGGAAATGTATGGAAGCTCAGTGTTCAATATTAAACCAACACTAAGGCATTATGAAATAAATCCACAAAAGGTAAATTGAAAAGAGACAAAACTACATGATACATTGACAATAACTCAATATAAAATGTTTTATAGTTTAAGAATTTTTAATTTATTTGTATCATAATGGCTTGTTTCCCCCAATGACATTTCATTTATCTTCCTGTGACAGTGTAATTGTCGCCAGTGTCCGTCCTCTCTTTTAGCAAGTTCCCTGCCTCCCTGCTAACTAAGCTACAACCACCAGAAAGACTAGATGTTTGCTCCTCCCAGGTGTGTATTTCTCTGAAGGACATCATTTGAATAAAAACCCTGCTAAATTACAGATGGGTGGCAACTGAAAAGAAAACCCAACATGTCTCAGTGAGGTGTCGGGCCACCTTGTGCCACCAGAACCACTTCAGTGCACCTTGGCATTGATTCTCCAAGGTGCTGAACTCTACTGGAGGGATGAACAACTGGGTTGAGATCTGGTGACTGTGAAGGTCATAACATATGATTTGTATCATTATCATACTCAACAAACCAGTCAGTGACCCCTGGCGTCCTGTGGATGAGGACACCTGGAAGAGACCAGTCAGGGTTTTCTTCATATTTGTCACCTGTCTGCAGCTTTGAATGATCCAAGTTACCAACCCTGCCTCACGTTTTTCAGAAATTAAGTTAACCCCAACCCCTAACATGCTGGACGTTTTCGGTCACCATTTAATCAGATTAAGATGTTATGAACCAAATAATGTTTATGTTCCTACAATGATAAACCTGCATCGTAAAAACGATAGACAGCACTGAAGAGGGACTTCAAATGTTAAATGTCAAATTGTTAAACCTCAAACATAAGATTATAATTTATATTCTTTAAGAACAAAGAAAAGTCAACACCAAGTTTTTGAACAAATACAATTAACACTTTGGGCCAAAAAAAACAACCTGGGGGCTGCTGTTGTGTTGTTGTTGCCTTCAGCCGGCACCAATTCCACATACAATATTTACACACTGTGGCACAAAATAACAGGAAAGCAGCTCAGGAGCTGTGGTAAACAACAAATTCCAATTCTGCAGATGTCCGGATACAGGCATCAGTGACAGCAGGTAAAGTCAGTCCAACCTCACTATGCACAGCTGTCACTCACTGTTCAGTTACAACATCCTCAAATGATCAGGGTTCACAAAGATAAACAGCTGCCACAACACAGAGATGTACACCAATCAGCCATAACATTCTGACCACTGAGGGGTGAAGTGAATAACACTGACTATCTATTACAGTGACCTGTCAGTGTGTGGGGTATATTAGGCAGCAAGTGAACAGTCAGTCCTCAAAGTTGATGTGTTGGAAGCAGGAAAAATGGACAAGGGTCAGGATCTGAGTGACTTTGACAAGGATCAAACTGTGATGGTGAGATGACTGGGTCAGAGCATCTCCTACACTGCAGGTCTTGGTGGGTGTTGTTGGTCTGCAGTGGTTAGTACCTACCAACAGTGTCTAAGGAAGGATAGATGGTGAACTGGAGACAGGGTCATGGACGACCACGGTTCACTGATGATGAGGTTGATCTACTGTAGATTAAACTTTTAAATTTCATTCATGCTTTTCAAAAGATTCCATTTAGTTTGAACCTTTGTTAAATGTGTGAAAATGAGAAACACTGTCCATTGGTCTCTATGAAGAGAAAGAGTCAGGGGCTGTAGTGGAGATATCAGGATGGGGAGGCTGTTGAATGTGTCTAATAAATCATCTCTAACTTGTAGTCACACCCACAGTTTTCACTCTTTTACATATATTTTTCACTGAAAGGTCAACACATTTGTGCTCTTCCTGACAATTTAGATAAGGAAGCACATGGATTCACAGAAGCTGCACGGTGAGCTGCAGAGCGACATGGATTCTAGCCAACTGCTGAGTACACAGTATTAGATAGGTGGTCATAATGTTATGGCTGATTAGCTACATCACATTTTTTTGTATTTTACATTGGTTTGATTCTGACAAAAGCAGCTGTAGGTGGCGATAAAGGGGGCCAAGTGACAGCCTGCGTGTTCCCATGGACCGCAGTCTGTCTCTAGTGGATGATCACTTTTGGTACAACATCACGAACACGGTGGTTACAGTCTTTTTTTTCCTCCTCCTATTTTCTAATTTCATAAACCGCGGGTCGGATGGAAAGCTTTGGTGGGTCGGTGTGTTTAAACTGGTCACAGAGTATATTGATGTACATCAGCATCACCCTGTGTTAAGAACCATTTTGGCACAGCAGTGATCCCGACACTGAGCAAATCTCACAGTGGAAATCATTCAGGGAAGATTCCCATTTTTAGCTGGTGCTGATTGTTGCAGTTCCCGGTTAAAAAAACAACAACAAAGAAACAGCAGAGGCAGGTCATCTGTCACTAACTAATGACATGATAAGCCTAAATGAAACTTGCTTGTTGGTTTGTGTACTCGCTGCAATACACTGTCTGTGCAGCCAAAGATCATCTATGAATTCAAAGAGGTGTCACTCTGTAAACTCCTTTGAATAATCAGAGTGTCTCTGTAGTTCCAACTCCAACAGGGCCAGCGCCGCAGTTGTAGCTTAACAGGAGCTAAGTGGCTAATTTTTGTTAACAGTTATTTCAAAAAACAAAAAAAAAATTTGGCTTAAGGGTGATAGTGACAATGGACAAAACTACTGTCGGAACAATGCTAATATGATATTAAAATCTGCTCTTGAAGGGAATTTAATGCCATTAAAATGTGAAGATAAAAGTTGTTAGGAAAACGAATTCAGTTTATTTGCAATAGTTCGAGTCGCAGGATTATTTATTTTTTATCTAATATTGAACACTTGGGCCTCCATACATCCAAAGACAGATACACAATAAAGACAATGGTAAAAAAAAAAAAAAAAAGTAGATGTGGTCGGATGAGGTACCTGGAGATGCTGCTGTCCATAGGGTATGGAGGAGGGGGAGTACAGTGGGAGGAAGGCACCAGGGGCAGCTGTGGCTGCAGTGTGTGTGTGGGGCTCAATGAACTCATGTCAGTGTTCATCGGGATGTGAGTGCCCATCATAGGAGTCACTGCAGAGACAAAAGGAGCTACTGTGAGCTTTCTTCTACTGCTCTGGGATTTGGACAATGCTTAAGCTCAACTGAAACACACTGAGGGCGACATGCGGAGGTTACTCTCTACGTGACACATAATGCACCATAAAAGGTCCTGCGGGAGAGTCTCACAGGGATCACATGCTTTTTGGAGGAGGAAGCGTAGTGTCGGAGGGTGGGGTGCGGGATGAGCTGTGAGGCGTTCAGGTCCCCTCCTGCCTGCCCAGACACGCTATCCTATGTACACACTAAGCCCAGGAGGGACGGGATGACTAGTGGAGGGGACGTGAACGGCTAGAGATTGACAGGAAGGGAAACAAACGGGCACACTTACTGTCAGTCAGGCCTCCAGACATGCTGGATGGGGTGAGTGTGTTACGCTGCTGGGGGTTGATGAGCTGGCTGACAGAGGGCAGCTTGTTGACTTTTCCGTGAGTCGGGGAGCTGGAGCCGAAGGAGGGCTGAGACGGCATTGAGGTCCTGGGGGAGGAGAGAGGAGGTTACAGTCTGTTACCATCAGTGCTCTACAGTGTTCAGCTTCAAAGGTACAAGCCTGGTCTTTACTGTCCTTTCATGGAAACAATGTGTGTATACAGCATGAACAAGTTAACTGTTATAAACATAATATTATTATTATAGCACTATTACAGTAACTCATTTTTGAATGCAACAAGAGGGATCCCTCATAATGATCACATGGTTCTAAAAAAAAAAAAAAAAAGACTGAGCAA